GTAATTTGCAAAAAACAGTAAAAAATATATACATAAAAGCAACAAATTAATTCCATTTACAAAGGAAACGACTGACTGATTTATTTGTACAACTTAACTCTTTCAATATTTTCTTTTGCACACTGTCCATTTATATAAACGAACGTCGAGACTGTGAAACAATATTTTATTACATATTATTAACGCATTTTTATTACACACAATTTGATATATTAATACAATTATTAACAATAATGGACAAGCGTAACTATATTGAATAATCAATAATGCACATAAAGGGTGAGGTTTAGCAATGCTGATTTGTACTTAACCCTTTCGATATACTAAAAGCAAATTTAGTATGGCAAAAATAAAATTTGCAAACACGGAATGTAAACTTAAGTTAATAATTGGAAATGAAAATCAATTACCTGTGTAAAATACACATTTTTCATAATATATAAATTGGAATAAATAAAATGTATATTGGACACAGCACGATTCTTTTGTTAAATAAATACTTTTTTCTGATCATTAATATTAAAGTGTGTACAATTTACTGTTCTCTACGCTGTACTATATTAGACAATATCTGAGTCGAATTTTCATGTTCTTTAACCGCATCGTCGTCATCTGAACTGAAGTCTGCATTTAAAAGATTTGTTAAAGATGTTGACTTTTGTATTAATAGAGGTAAACTTGTATCAAGTCTTTCTTCATTTTTAATGTTAATATTCATCGAAGAATTCAATTGTAATTCCAGATTTTCAGTTTCTTTATTCCTACTCGATACTACTTTTTGAATAGTATGAATTATAATTCCACCAAAGCACATTAACAATCCTATAAAGTTAAATCCGCTCATTTGATCACCTTTCCATTCAACGGCCAAAATTAACATACACATTTCCTATAAAGAGTTTTATGAGAATAAATTTTCATTTATTTAAAAAGTTTGCATAGACTCATCTAATAATTTTAAATAAATTTATAATACATAATTCAGTGTTATTACTTTACCTTAATTATTCCTGTAATTGCAAGTGTTAGACTAGAAGTGTATCTAACAACTAAATATTCCATAACTTCCATATGGAAAGCAATGATAGCAGATCCTAGCACAGCACTTGTAGTCATAACAATAGAATGAGCATCACTCCAATCAGTAGTTTGTAAATAATTATATAACTGTGACCCTAAAAAAAAACAACGTTTCCTTTATAAAAGAATATAAATTTATCGATTTGCACAGATATAATTCTTTTGTACCAATAAGTTCCAATGACATAATAGACATACATATTCAGTATTACCTTCAAACAATATCATCACAGGTACAATAGGCAGTAGCATCCATAATTGCATATAATACATCATATCAATTGGACTTTTTATCCCCATTTTAGATTTCTGCATGATGAGTTGTGTCATAGTCCAGCGAATACCACTCGAAAACGATGCTAATAGGCAAATCAAAAATCCGAATATGCCAAATTGTGTAGATTTATATGTAAACATAAATAAACCACTTGATATCATCACTACAATACATACTAACGACCAAGACTACAAAAAAAATATTTTATTTTACATACGTTATCAATGATTTATAAGATATAGAAAATACGTTTATTATCATTACCTTCTTCTCTAAGTTTAAGACGAGGGCAAAACCAAGTATAAAAATAATAGTTGTTGATTTTGTCATAGTATACCTAAATAAAAATATAATGTATTGATATACAGCAGCATGTATATATTTTAATCAGATAAAATTTTAACACCTATACATACAATGACATTGTAATTAATGAAAGTGCCCAGTTGGATAAACCTACATCAAGGCCACTTGCTACACCTATTGGCATAACCATCCATATTATGCTTTTCCAAGGAAGTTTCAATTGCTGTTGTCCTTTGTAACATGTTCTAAAACATCTTCTTATGGCAGCTAACAAAAACTTGATTACTAAGTGACATATCACCACTGTCAGTGGAAAATTAAAACCCTAAAATTCAATAAACAGTAATTATAAATAAATAGTTGAGCTAAAAACAAATTATACATTATTTTAAATTTGAGAATTACTCTATTAGTGATTATACTCACATAACTATTATAAAGCCATTTTACATAAAATGTTAAGCCTACGGATAAGACAAAATAATTAATAATTAATATGATCTTTTGGAAGGCCCTCTTCCAAAAAGAAGACTCTTTTTTTGATGTAGTTGAAAAATCTTGAACAGATGGAAGGAAATATTCTGTTTTATCTTCTGCATCTTTAGCAATTTGATATTTTATATGTGACCTTGTCATACTTCAAAAAAATATAACCTGCAAATATAAATTCGTATTAACACACCCACACACGCAAGTATACGTATATATATTTATTATGGTTTAAAAAATGACGACAATGTATGACTTGTATTGGAACATTCAGAAAAACAGATTGTATTGATAATATCAATTAGTAAAATTCATTAAAAACTATAATGTTGAATAGAGTAACATAATATTAGAAATTTTTATAAAAAATCTGTAAAACATACCGCCTTTTCCGGCTTCATATATATAAAAATAGTTATAAAATTGTTACGTTTGACGTTTGACATCTGCTGTCAAATTATATGTTTAATAACAGAGATACTCGCACAACACCAAAGATATAATTGTTATTTTCATTCTGAAAGTGCATAAAAGTTGTCGATTACAAACGTAAATAAAGTTTTAAAGGACACAGTATTGAAACATACTTCTTCACCTCTTCTTCGCCAGTGTTGACACCAGGGCACAAAGGATTTCAACAGAGCTGAAACTTCGACTTCATTGAGAACCAATTTCCAATGTGTACATGTATCATATATATGGAACAATTCCATCATGAATGTAGCTCCAGAACTCCGTAATATCGATAAGGAAAATTTAAGAATAACACTTAAATATCAATTAAAATATTTTATTTCAAATTTTTCTGTACTTATATTCTATATTACCAAATTATAGACAAATTTATTGTTCATAAAAATTGTACAAACAATAGAAAATATTGAAAAAATTCTGCAAAATCGTATTTGCCTCTGTAATTTAGTTTATGGGTTTCAACACTAGGCGGTGTTGCATAAAGAAAATTTATAATAGCAACAGCTTACACTATGTTCATCGTTGACTGATGATTCATTCGATAAAGTGTTACGATGTGTACGTGCGTAGATGTAGATCAATGCATAAACATAACCTACAGGTATGGATAACAATGTTATCTTGTTGAAGCTACGTATGTATACATGTTATCTGTTTACACTACTTTGCACCACCTATTATTTTAAATATACTTCTTAAAATTACCCAGATATGAAACCATA